CAGTCCGTGGTTGAGGCCATTGCGCCAAGGGGGGACGGCAACGACAATCGTGCATAAGTTACTAAATGTGATATAGTGTCGCTCATTATCCACTGAGTTGCACGTCACTATCGTGTAGAAGACAGGGTAACCCCTCAACAAGCGACAAGCTTACCAAACTTAAGCAGCCAATTACCTTTTTGGCATTAAAACAGTTTGGTCTGCGTACTGAGTACAGCAAAGTAGTAAGAAAAGTCTAGACGTGACGAACTTCACCTACTACTCTTCTTTTTCTTTATTGTTAATAAGAAAATGCTAGCAACTGCGATACATTCGAACATATGTAAGCAACTTATTAGTACCTTTGTGATTAGTACATTTATCTTTTCACCAACTTTTGGTTCTGGTCTATTTTGGACCAGATTCTGTGTTTTACGCAATTGTCTTTACGAACTGCCATGAGCAAACTGAAGTTAAATGAGTATACCAACAAAACTAGAAGACAAATATAGTCTATTCAGCATGCTTCTCAAGGTGCCAACGTTAGCTATATGACATAAGTGAGGTTGCTGAAATCTAGCTAAATGTAAGACATCGCGGAGGAAAGTAAAAAGACGTATTTTCAGCTTCTTGACAAGATTGGTTACTGATTACCCTATTAGGATCGTGGATTATCTGCATTTGATCAGTAGTATGGCCATTTCCTTATCGGGAAACGCACCAGATGGATTGTGTCACGGGGGAAATATTCGTCGATTAACAACAAGCGGCCGTACAGATAAGAATATCCTATATTGAACCAAAAACATTCTACGTGCAACATCATAACATGCTTAATAAAGAAACTAAAAGTGCTCAGATGTTGGTATCATACTGAGAAAGTTAATAAACAAGCAAACTCATGAATGGTGAGGAATGTCACCAGTTTGCAATTATGCACAAACCTGAGAACCTCAAACACAACTGACTAGCAATCCAACCCCATTCTTGCTAGACGCACGGGCAAGTTGAAGATACCAAACAGACACAAAGTTGGCACATTTCTACATTCCGGGGTGTTTTATTAGGTCATAATTCGGTAGATCTCTCGCATTACCCGGAACATGCATGAAAATGTTTATTTGCTTACGCACATATGACTTGTGCAAACACATGTCCGCCCCAGCACAAATTGACAGACGGCAGTTTTGAAGGCAGTTTTTCAAAAACTCAAGAATTTGGACTAACAATGTCACTATTTATTATCATTACGTAGTAGGATTTTTCCTCATTTCATCTCCCGGTTTGGGCGTGTGGGCGCACCACCACTTACCTACAGCTACCCTGCTATAACAGTTTACCTGCTTGCTTTTGTATGTCAGAAGTATGCGCGGCCATGACTAGATGTTGGTCTATTTATCTGTGCGACGAAAACTGCAGCTGCTATATCGTTTGGCTTCGGACACTTCCATAGAAAATATATGGGGGATTCTAAAATTAGATAAAGTCTCTGTCAGCTTGGAATAATACGCCTTTGTAAATGCACATATAGGTCAAGTATATTATTTTTTCACCTGATAGCCAACTGAGTGGATTATCAAAATTCGTATTCCGATCAAATAAAGGTTTAGTATTACCTTACATGTGCTGGTTATGTGTTACTTAATTGCGCATGCACCCTACGCGTTGCTGAGATGTCAATGTTGGTATTAGCAGCAACCGCTTCAAATATTTTACAAAGATTCTAGCTCAAGTGGGACCGGAACGATTAGATAATCCCATGAGAGTTCCTTGTTCAGTAGGTCTTTGAACCGGGAGTTGGCGAAGGGCTTTGAAAAATAGATGGGCACAAAACAAAGACCTCATCACACGGTGACCAACCTATTACTGCCCACGTATCCTGCAATAGCAGTCCCTGCTGGGCCGGTTCCGTGAAGAAAGAAAGAGGAAGCAGTCAAATGAGTAAGCAAGAACAGGAACCTAACTAAGCAATTATAATACTAGGATATGTTAAGAATTACATAGCATAACTGGACGCTGAAGATAATCGCGAGAAAGGATAGTTTCATTGTTGCCATCCATGAGCACCAACATGAAGCGTTAAACCATCAACATTAGATTCCCTAAATACATGCTTCGGAAGCGAATTCCAGCACTCGATAATTAGGTGCGATAAACCGGTTTACGCCGTACTACGATTGAAGCGCGGTTGGTACAGCTTCAGTGGGTGACCGCGGAGGCTAGGTAACTTAGCGGAACTAACTAAGCAAACCAAGTCAGAGCCGATCTTACTCGTCAAAATATGGCAAGTGATAACCAAGTCTCCTCTTACCATTTGGTATTCCATGTAATACATCCCTAAACTAAGTAAACGAACGGCGTACCTCTGTCTCCGTAGATTCTGCACTAGCCTTGTACCCACTCGTAAAACCTTCACCAAGTTCATTTTGTCTCAGATAAGATATGTTGGACAAGCCTTGATACGACATTCCGAGTGGAGTAGCAAAAAGGCCGAAAATAACTTCACTATTATATCAGCCGTTAGAATTTCGAAACAGTGGCAAATAACCCACATCATACAGAATCATCTACAAGCAGCCGCAATACAGTTTTCGCCAGAATGAATAGCTGATGAGTAGGCGACACCTACATTAACCTACCAAGTGAAAGCAAAGATTTCATTTGCGCAAACTATATTTCGTGGGAAGATTAGCAGCTCTAATTCATACATTTGCATAAGCCAGAAAGCACCCCATTACAAGAGCATACACAAGACAATCTGAACTGTCTCAGAAACTCCTGGGATACCCACAATATTCCAGAGGTTAATGTCATCAGCAAGGTTAAGCGATGGCATCACATCCATCCATCCATCCTCCTCCTCCTCCTCCTCCTCCTCCTCCTCCTCCTCATCATCATCATCAGCATCGTCGTCGTCGTCGTCATCATCATCATCATCATCATCATCATCATCATCATCGTCGTCATCATCATCATCAACATCATCATCAACATCATCAACATCATCATCATCATCATCATCATCATCATCATCAACATCATCATCACCCTCATCATCATCATCATCATCACCATCATCAGCATCAGCATCATCAGCATCGTCATCATCATCAACATCATCACCCTCATCATCATCATCATCATCATCATCATCATCATCATCATCATCATCATCATCATCATCATCATCATCATCATCATCATCATCATCATCATCATCATCATCATCATCATCATCATCATCATCATCATCATCATCATCATCATCATCATCATCATCATCATCATCATCATCATCATCATCATCATCATCATCATCATCATCATCATCATCATCATCATCATCATCATCATCATCATCATCATCATCATCATCATCATCATCATCATCATCATCATCATCATCATCATCATCATCATCATCATCATCATCATCATCATCATCATCATCATCATCATCATCATCATCATCATCATCATCATCATCATCATCATCATCATCATCATCATCATCATCATCATCATCATCATCATCATCATCATCATCATCATCATCATCATCAACGGCTACAGCAGCAGCAGCAACAACAACAACAGCACTTCGGCTATTTGAACTCACTTCTCTGCCATGCAACCATGAGGACCTACCGAACGATGAATAATAAGAGGGAGTGAAGTGGAACTTACCGGAAAACTGAAATGCTCTAAGAAAACATCCTTGAGCAACGCGCCTACACCTTGTCAACAACGTACGGTCACAAGCAGCTGGCTATCGCGCCATGATTAGACAGCATCGAAGAGACAGCTTCCTTACAGTTTTCACTGCCCGCGTCATAATCAACCCTTACCCTGCAGATAACGCCGCACTAGGCAAAATGTAAACTGCCTGTCCGGCTAGGAGACAGCAGCAAACGCACCATTGATGTCGACTGAGAAGCATGTCCTGTAAAGTCTCGAGCTAAGCACCAGGCGAGTCACGTGAAGCACAAACCGGACGACGAGACAGACGGAAGGGCACCCAGTCTGGTTGTCAGTGACTTTATTTCACGCTGCCAAGTCAATCTTCTCCGCCTCTGGTCTTGCTCCACCCTACATCTGGCAAACTAAGCAAAGCGAGCGTAACTATGACTCACTTAAATCTTCCGTCCAAGGTGCCTATTGCTTTACCTTTGGCTTCGGCTGTTGGTATATGCTGCTAGGCTTCATGAGTAGTCCGTTTGGGTCACCGCCTTGGTCGGGAAGGTGGGGGATAATAGTTACACGTCCTGGGCGCCTCCACGTGGCGACCGCTGGATAGGAGATGGGCTTGCTCATCTATGAACCAGGGTCCAGGACAACCCACGTAGGGCTAACCACCCAGCTTGGGACAATTCGAGGTTACTAAACCTAACATGAAGTAAAATTCAGACCAGGTCTCTAGCTTGGTTCAAAAGCGCAGCGATTATGCCGTTGTTGCTCCCACTTTGGTTCCGGTGGCGTCCGGAAGGGGGGAGCGATTGAGCGTGGAACGTGAGGTAGATTTAGATGCTGTAATGGTACTGGAAGGTTAGGTGGTTGATGGTCATGTCATTTCTGGTGATGCCGTTGATGTCCAGGACGGGTATGTCTGCTATTGTGGTGCAGTCTTCCGTTCCAAACGTGCGCTTGGCCAACATAAGAGGCACAGACATACCTGTGGAGTTCAATGAGGAGAAGTTATGTTTGGTGCCAAGGCAAAGAGATTGGTCCGAGTAAGAGGCCTCACGGTTGTTTTCACAAGCAAGCCAGTTTCTTTCGGAGTGCGCAAACAAGGCGGAAGTCTATCGTCGGCTCTCTGCTCAATTTCCTGGACGGTGTGTCGAAGGTATTAAGAAGCAGTTAATGAAGATGCGCTGACGGAGGCGAAGGCCCAGTTAGGAGTGTTTGCTTTGGGTCTCACTGGTGGTGGTCCGTGTTCCTCCGATAGTGCTTCGTGAGGTTGGTGCGGAGTTGACGGAATGTGGCTTGGTGTCCAATGGGAGGACCACTAACCGGGATCCAGATCAGTACGAAGTGGCCCTCGAGTCAAAACTCTTGCAGTTCTCCGATGAGGAACAGTTCCGTCCATTCCTGGAGGGTCTTTGGCGTGATCCTGACCCGGAGGGGTAGTTCTGTGAGTTGGTTAATCTAATACTGCCGGACGAAGATGAGGGTGCCTCTTCCAAGGTGGCCGTGGAAACGTTCAAATCACCGATGGGGGAGGAGAGTGCCTCTCCTAGGGCTGGTCTGGAGGTTGCAGATGGTCTGTCGAAATACTTGTCCATATCGTTACGGAATTGAAGCGCCTTTCGCAAGGGGATGACCTGCCTGGTCATCTGTTTCAGCTTGCTGAGCAGTTGCGAAACGGTACGCTCACAAAATGTGCAGGCATGGTGTGTCTGCGCGAGAGTACTGAACATTTCTTTTCACTCAAACGGCGAGGCAACGGAGAACCTGTACTGCTGGAGTCAGGTGGGCGATCTGGTGGTCCAAATATGTAGAAATCCAGAAACTCTGGATGACGAAACGTAAAGATGATGCACAGACTATCCTGGATGGTAGTTGGCTGAGCGCATACAAATCACAACGCTTGGGGCTCGATCAGACGAGAATTGAGTATTGGGGATCTGTAGTTGGTGTACAAAGTGCGGTGGATGAGATACCGGTTCCCAGAGAGGAATGCAATGATTATGGTTTGACTGAGCTATTGTCTTCGACAGATGTTGGTGATGCCTTACTGTATGCCGGAGGTACGTCCCCAGGATCAGATAAGGTGGCGGTGGCGGACTGTAAATCGTTGGAACTGACGGTTATCACAGAGTTGTTCATCCTTATGTTGGCGCTTGAGTGCCCTCCTGCATCTCTTGTGACGGCACGGCTAAAGTTGGTGCCCAAGTAGTTATACCCCAACACGCCGTCTGATTATCGCCCGATCGCGGTTTCTTCGGTTCTGCTGCGGGCCTTTCATAAACTTTGGCAAAAAGATGGAGGTCGCTTTTGAGTCTGTCTTCACTTCAAGTCACGTTTCAAAATCGAGATGGGTGTCTTGAGGCCCCATATATCCTACAGTGTATCTTGAGAATTGTTCAGTCCGACTATCTGAATGCGGCGGAGGCGCTCTTGGACGTTGCCAAAGCGTTCGATACCATGTCAGTGGACACTATCATACGAGCCGCAGCAGCACATGGAGCCCCAACAGAGCCTCAGCTTTATTTGTCTTCCGTATAAACCTAATAAAAGTGGCTTCTTGGCGACGAAGTGTTGGATTGTCCCAGAAATGTGAGGCAGGGGGATCCTCTGTCTCCTCTCTTTTTCATCATGGTCATGGACGAGGGGATTGCTGCTACCCTAACTAATCGGGTGGTGCGGTGTGGCGAAGAGATTGGTGCTTTTGCATACGCGAATGACCTTGTGTTGTTCGCCTTTTCCCAAGAGGCGTTGTCTGTGAAGCTGGTGGCTTTGCAGCAGGCTCTTTCAATGGAACGTATGTCGTTGAACACCTCGAAGTGTCGGGCCATCACTGTCCAAAAGCTGGAAAAACTGAAATGAGTCGTTCTGGTGCCACAGGCTTACCACCTGGTGAGGGGTGAGATGAGACCGGTTGGGGTGACGGATGAAATCCGTTACCTTGATTTGCTTTTCAACTGGAAGGGGAGATACCAGGTAAAAAGCGCGGCTGTTCTTCCTGAGTGGCTCAACGAGATCTCCGTGTTCCTTTGAAACCGCAACAACGTCTGGATACGGTGCGTGACTTCGTATTTCCCGAATTGCTTCATGAATTGATTCTGGGGAACGCTCCTCGGAATACCCTGCGGTAGATGGATAACATGGTGCCAGCCAAAGTGGGGAGTGGATGCGTTATCCGAAAGCTGTGTCGCTCCCTTTCTTTTACACTAGTCGGGGCCTTGGGTGTCTAGGCTTGCTGTTGTGGCGCATGCTTTTTCCTTTTGCTCAAAGAGCCAACTTCGGTCGGTTATGTTCTTCGCCGTCCCTGTTGGTGCGGGGGCTTTTGGAGACGGAGGCTTGCAAGGTTGATATCCGAAGCCTCATTGTACCACACCGCCGCATGGGGACTGTGAAGGAGGATAAGAAGGCCTTTCAAGGTCTCTGGAGAGAAAAGCTTGAGTCGACGTGTGCCTGCAAAGGTTTACAGCTGGACAAACGAGAAGTATCTAGCAGCCAATGGATGTTATCAGGCCGGAGGGTATTCCCCGCCTCTTTATTCGTGCTACCAACTTAAGGGGCGAACTCTTGCATACGAAGCTACAGAGCTCCATGGGGATTTCCCGTAAGGCTGATGATGTCAAGTGCCGTGATGGTTGTGGGGAACCAGAGTCTATTGGGCATGTCTTGCAGAGGTGTTACCTTACCCATGATGCCCGGGGCATGAGACATAATCGAGTAGTACGAACAATTTCCCAGATTGCCAAGCGGAAGCATGCGAAGGTATATGTTGATCTCATCATTTCATTACCGGTGAGATAATGTAAACCGGACCTCATAATTTGCGCCAAAGGGTCGATAATGATTGTAAACGTGGCCATCACACTGGCGCACAGACAAGAGTTGGCATACCATGAGAAAGATGCAAGTACATGGGGCATGCAAGTGGATGCAGGCGTACGTTGGTGGTGCATTGGCCAATCATTATCTCGGACCGTGCTTTTATTTGGAAGGGCTCTGGTGGAATTCTTCGTCGTCTTGGATTATCAGACCGTGACATTTCTGAGTTGGCTTTACTGGTCATCGCGGGGTCACGGAAGTGCCATGACGTATATATGCGGGGTACCTAATCCTCTCTCTCTCCGTTCGTTACAGGTACCGAGGAGGGAAGCTATGCAGCGGAAAGCCCAAACCTACGGGAGGCTGAAGCTGATGGGCAACGATGTGAAAGCAATTGGCGTTAGCGGAAGCACCCGGAGCTTTGGGAAGACAAATGAAGATAGATCTTCTTTGGATGGATTACTACTGATGTTCTCCCAATCCTTATGAACCTTCTTACACATTCCCTGGAACTTGAACTTGAACTTTCACTTCAGTGCATGAGCTGCATGCTCGTTTTTGCTTTCCTTGCACCCCGTTTTTGATTACTCGGCCCAGTATTTTTTATAATTATTGGGCAAGATGTGGCAAACCGAACACCGAAACTATATGCTAAAGAGTAGCGGTGACCGGGCACAAGTAGTAGGTGCCCAGGAAAACGCCACTTATTCAGTGCTATCTTTTCTACTAACGAAATAGTCTGGTTAACACTGCCTAGTACTCGCTTACGCACATCATCGTCGCGGACAGGCCGGATCCACCAGACCTCGGTGATGCTCAGCAGACAACGATGATCAAAGTTTTGAAGGCGCCTCAGATCCTCAGACCGAAGGGGCCAATGGTAGCATTCATAGGCTAGGACGGCGCTCACTATTGCCTTGTACACACGGTCTTTTAGATAGAGGGAAACTCCATTCTGTCGCCAAATATGTCGCAGGTTCCAAAAGGCAGTTCTGGGTTAGGCCATGCGTGAACTAACTTCGACTTCTATGCCCCTGTCATTGTTGACGCAGCTGCCTAGATAAGTGAATCGATCAAGTAACTCGTCGTTCCAAAGGGTGACAGGTATGTTCATTGATATTATTGTCAGCGTTGTAACAGGCTAAGCAACTAATGAGCTCGAGGAGATGGAACTAGGCCCCTTGTTATGCTCACAAATAAATTCCAGGAAGGACAGTCTGTGTGCATACTTCATCGGTCAAAGTTGAGAAAGTTAACTCTGGCACATATGAAGGACACATTCTGCACAGCTTGACAATGATAGTTATATACTTCAATCGTGCGACGGCTTTCGTGTCCGATGACGTACGATATTAGACAGCGTGCTGCGTAGATGTCATTAAGTCTGTTTGTGAGGATGCAATTCACATTAGGTGTACATCCCGTTGAATCAGTTTAACTGGAGTGGCCACACCCGCATCCTGTTAGGAAGTTGACGAAATTCGTTGCACAAATAAAGTGTGTCTTGTCTTACGCGAAGAAAGGAGCGTGTCCACATTGAGCATCGAACTCAGGTACGTGTGATAACTCGACCGACCTACCTACACCTGTCATCACCCGCTGGAACTTCTAGCTGAAATTTGTCGCATATCGCAGCAATGTTTCCATCATTACTCAGTCATGCTGCAAGCTGTACAACATGAGTTTGGAGACTCAGCTGATGTTTACGAACTCATGGATCTTCTGACCAACAAAAAAATTCAGAAAGTATTGAACTGGCAACCGAGTTCCATTGCGACCGTTAGCAAGAACTTCACCCGTCACCTGGAAACTGTCGAATCAATCTCCGGTAACCCATAAGATTTGCAACGACAATTCCGGTCTATCAAGGGCACTGATAACTGCCGTTGAGCAAAACTGAGTGCAACATTTGCAGGATTTAGGGCAGACCTTTGATGCGTCTATCAAAATCCAAAAAGACATGCAAATCTGCTTCTCCCAAGCTATCAAAAAGCCGAGGAGATGTTGACGTCATAGACTAGCTGGAAGTTTTGAAAGCCATTAGATTGTTCTACCCCAACCAATTCATAATACTACTAAGTGATCCAGGCGACTATGCTGACGTTCCAAGCCTGGTTGTGTCCCCAGCTCTGACGGCCAAATGGCTAATCTGTCAAAAAGTGGTTGAAGAAGTTCAGAGAAATGTGAAGACACGATAGCTTTCCGATGCGGGGTGCATGAAAAACACCATAGCTATAAGTCATTGCCGGTCGTTTTCTAGATATTCTTGTGAATCCGGTAAATGCTAACCGGAGCTTTGGTGCGTACAAAAATATGGTGTATGGCAAGCGTCGAAACTTTTCAAACCATGTCTCGAAGCAACTTGTTAGACTTTATTTAAATTCAGTTTGAATCATAACTGATTATGAATAAATTGATGAAGGTGCCTGAATTTTTGCTTATTTTACTTTTCATCAGGAAATAACGGAATTTTAGGTTAATACGACAGAAGTTTTGCGGAATTTTCAGTTTTATTATCCCCTGTTTTACCATTTCAGAAAAATAGTGTCTTTACCAATGTGGGTTAATTGAATCCACTCAGTCAGAGCAGAGCGCAATTTGGCTACACTCCAAAATGCTTTGTTGCTTATTGCGAACTGGTCTGAAGTGTAACGCTTTTAGCACTCGAAACTCTCCAAACATATATTTATGATTATTCCTACGGGTGTACAATTTTTGCCGAGTTGGTTGGATGCTGTTTACTCCAGACCGTTTTTGGTTGGACAGGAATAAGAATGTACGTGTGTGATTGACTTAGAAAGGGCAAGGCATGCAGCAGCGTATGAATGCTGAACTCTCCTGATTTGAGTGTAGCGCCCATAAAAGGGAAATTGTGTGACTTATATCGAATACATGGTTTGATTAAAATGTATTCCCACTGCTTGCATACCGTGTGTCTGGGGTCGACGATAATCATTTCAGTGTTGCGTCACGAATGTATCCGAGGATGAAATGACCAAGATGAGATGCCACAACGGAACGGTATTTCTAATAAAATAGAATACGATGTCACTTCGACTAATGATAAACGTCTGCAGCAACAGCAACGGAAACCCGACTAGCTAGAGCAATATTACGTCTTTGTCACTCCATTGATGATCTCTCTAAGTATCAATCTCATTGGATATCGCTTTAACGATTCACCCATAGCGATTCCGTTAAACTGTTGATAAATAGCAAAAAATGCGTTTTTGAGTTAGAGCTGTCCTCCATCCGAAAACGTATTACAGTTTTTCCACTCGCAGCTTTTTGTTGTCTTCCACCCCGTATCTCCTTGCTTAACACAAACGAATTTTACAGTCGATATATAATAACAGATGATGCATTTAAGGACTACGGCAGAATTACTGACCAAGT